CTTGCCGCCCCCGGGCCTGTGGGGACGAGTTCCCAATGGGCCCCCATCGAATAATCCCCAGCCATGGCTCTGGAGGATTGTGCTAATATCTATGGCCCCCACCCATAGTAGATGGCTGAAATGGCTGAAATGGCTGTCCCCCAGCCATCTTACCCAAGATGGCTGCGATGAAGCCAGCTCAGCCAAGAGGGCTCACCTCGAGGCGGGCGGTATGGCTGCGGTAGTGCGTCTCCAGCCATGTCTACCAAGGATGGCTGCCCTGTGTGTATTGCAGCCATCGGCCTGGAGGCTATGGCTGCGCTGTAGCTAGCTCAGCCATCCTTAGGTAAGATGGCTGTGTAGGAGCCAGCACAGCCATTCTGGTGTCACATTCCAGGCGTCTTCTTCGCTGTTTATTCACAGCACGCCACTAGGAAACCAAGGTTCCCCTGGGGTCGCCTCGTGAATAAACGAGTAGAAAGAGCGGTGGTCACATTCCGAGGTTAGCCATCATTGCCTCCGCCCCGGGCTCGGGTGGCGCAAGAAGGTGTCCCAGGAGTCTGCAAGCGTGCGTAGACTGGAAGGGCCTTTGCAGAGCGTAAAATCGCCTGCAATACACCTCCGTGTTCAGTAGAATATGCCGCGCGACGCTTGCATCGACAGCGGCGGCGCCCTTCCGAGCCCGCCGCACGTGTTCTCGCCGCCGCACGCAGTCGACGCGCACCTGAGACGCCTCGGATCCAGCCCCAACCTCCTCGAGCTCGAGTATGAGGAGTGGATTCGCCGTGCACACAGCCTCATCGTGCCGCCGACGCTGCACCAGTCGTGGCAGGCGTGTGGTCCACTGCTGCCAGATCACGCGCGTTGGCGCGCACGGTGTGCTCGCGTGCTTCCCGCAAATTGGACCCTCTTCCTCTGGTCCGACGACGCTAATCGGCGCCTCGTTCAAACATTCTTTCCCTCCTTCCTCTCCACTTACGACGGGTGCGCAGGACAGAATGAGGACGCCAACGTGAGGTGTGGACTCCCATTGGGCTCCCACGCCTTCGCTTCAGGTACGACTCTCATATCAAGCGCGTTGATGCCGCCCGCTACTTTTACCTCTACCTCTTCGGCGGCGTGTACATTGACCTGGACGTGCATTGCCTCCGCCCGTTCGAGGCGCGGGCCGTACTCCCCTCGCCTCCACTGCGGGAGCGA